AATTTATAACAAAAAACCCTAGCCAGTAAATCGCCGCAGTGAACTCACAGCTGCTCAGTCTTCAAGGGCATAGCACATTGTGGATGTGGAAATACCTCATCAATTGAGGTCATCTGGGCTATGATCAAGACGAAGGACGTACCAGGGGAGACACGAGTGGAGGCAGTGACCCCGATAGCTGAAGAAGTGAGTTATGAAGAAAAATCCGAATAAAAACCGTGAAAGGAGACACGTCTAAAAGTGGTAATATGTTCGTGAGAAAGGAGGACCTGTAGGGAGAAAAAGCAGAAAACGGCGTCTACGAAGAGGATAGGGACTTGAAATTTGTAGTCTCACGATCAGTGTAACTACTACTCCAAGATACTCTTCAGCTCATTCCTTATATGAAATGCCCTTTCGATCCAAATATTAGACCTTTGAACCTCGCTTCATGAACCAGTAGCATTTTTTGTGTTTCAGCCATGTCGAACATTTGCTGGAGATGAGGCAAAATAATTGGTTGTTTTGTTCGATTCCGCTGTTTATCAACAATTTCCCGTGTAGATAACTGTTTCACACCACCAATATCGAGAACAGGACAAAATGGGGATGCGATTTGGCCTTTAAAGTAGTCCCGGCTGGGTGGAGCTGGTGTAAAAGAAAGTGTAGCCACCATGAGAGTGCATTGCCTCAATCATTGTAATATTAGTTGACCGGAAATTACCGGCCATTTTTGGTGACTGATGGGTTTTCAAAGCGTCGCTGACTAATTATTATAGTTTGATAATTTTGATGTTATTCGGGAAATCACTGACTTTCGATTCAATATCATAAAAAATGGTGAACAAGTGGGAAAGGTCAGAGGACAAAAACGGCTGTAACCTTCAGTAAAGGTAGCGTGGTGGGCATGGAGGGAATCCGATCTGAGATGTGAATATCGCACCAAGTGCGCAAATTGAGCGACTTTCCACTACACCATTTCCTCCCATAGTAATGTGGAGTGATTTGAGTCATGTAAACGATAAAGTATTCGCCGTTGGTCGATCCTTTGTAGGATGCACGACGCATTCTTCGTCCACTCCTGTTCGGGATCCTATTGGCATTATGGGAGCTAGGCAATGTGCAATAAATTATTGATTTTGTATATAATTGAGTCACTCAGTTTGCAGAAACCAAAAGTTATTTTTGGATCTCAATATTGTTTATGTATTTTGCGCAAATTTTATTTAGGGGATGGGATCAAAGAGTAGTTTAGTCTCGTGTTGTTGTCAGCAGTGTTTTCCCAGATGAGTCGGTTATCAGTCACTGAAATACCGGAGGATGGTAATCGTTCATTGTATACACTACGACAACGATCAGGAGCCGATTTATCTCTCAAACCATACGTAGCGGTGAAGATGTTCGCGGAACGATAGTTTTTCGTCGGCTTCTGCTTTTTGCCATAAACAAAATCAACTGGTTAGCTCGAAAATCTTTGTCTTTTGTAATTTCCTGCTTCTTAAGTAGAGGAATAGAACCACTAGTGAGACATAGTGTTCAATCTTATAGTGGGTGTTCTCTACTACGAGAAAATAATAATGGGCTAAAAATTGTTTTGAGGCGATCTGACTTTTGACGTCTACTGTACCTCCCCTTCAAAAAGCGAGAAAGTGTCGGGTGCAGATCCATGCACCACAAGTGACGACGGCCTTCACAAAATGTTAATGTTTTCTGCCAATGAAATGATTAGCCTGTTGCAGTTGTATTCTATCGATTGTCACTAATTACAGTTATCATTTACCAGAAATCAGCTATCACTATGAACAAATTCTAACCAGATTTACTTGAGAGGCCCGTCGTCAGTTGTGGTGTTTGTTCTGCATCCTCCCCCCTACGACTTTTCGCTTTTGAAGGGTCTGGTTTGGTATGGTATGTCGACGCCACTGAAGCAATCATCTATCCGCAAGGCAAAGAGTGTGATCTATGAACAATTCCAATTTCGTCTAATATTGGTTCACACCCGTTAAGCTGTCCAAATTCCGCCTGAATCAATGCCTAAAGGCTTCAATAGTGTTAGGACAAATATTAACTCATACGTCATAATATCACTCTCCTCACACCTCTACTTTTTTGCTAGACTATCGTCATCTCTACTTCGTGAAAACTCCTTGTGGTCCATCTGTGTAAAAGTTTATTCAAGTCACAAGAAATGATTGCCCTTTCTTTCCCATCCGAGGTCAGACGAAAGGACCCGTCATCAGGTGGTTTCAAGTGTTGAGAAGGGTCGTTAATGCAAACAATAGGAGTGCAAGCGGAAGGTTCTTGGTTGCCCATCGGAATACACTCCAATTCACGTCCAAACTGCCATCGGCACGTGTAGTAGCGCGAACGACGAGATCTCCTACTCTACAAATTCGGTTGTGCTTTGAGTATAATTATTAATAGGCCGAATCCTTGCATGGCAACAGCCTCGAGTCCCCGTATAAGGTTTGGATATAACTAGATCCCGATCCAGATTTGGGCGCCCGAACTCGCGAAATCCTGCGCTGTGATTAACAAAACTCCCCGCGCAGCGATTGCACACCAATTTGTGATAGCAAATTTGCAGCGATTCAATGGCTCTTGAGATTCGTTCCCACAGACACAAAACTCGTTCGATCATATAACCAGGCAGACCTGATCGGGATATCCATACGCCGTAAATAGTCTGTAATCTAGACAAAGCACCGCTTACAGGTGGAAATCAGCAGAAGAGTGCTGGAGCATTTACCACTATAACACCCTATATTTGAGACGAAAAAGTCATATTTGGCAGAAAGCAAAAAAACCAATGCGAAGGTAGGGAAACAGCGTGCTCAAGGACGAAAAGCGCTAGCAATTTCGCGCCAATGCATCACCACGGGTAGAACTTTACGCGGATCTAGTGCCTATGTTCAGTATTCAGAATTTCTGTACATTTAAGCGGAGCATTTTGCACACCGTTTAAAATTCGTCATCTCCTGTTTGTTAACGAATTAAATCATTATCCTGGCACGCATGATGAACCACTTTGTGAAGTGGGTGTGGGTCGTTAGGTCTTGGCGTTGCGATAGGCACAATGTTGTTCGAAATTAGCGCGGCAACTGATTTAAAGCGTTCATTCAGCGTGGTCACAGGAGTCGTAGTCCTCGACTAAGTGTTATAGCTCGCGATGGATGAGGGCAGAAGGAGGTGAAAAATGTGTTGCACTGATCAACTGCCTAGAAAATGCATTGTTCGCGGGACGTCGCAGATATGCACGCCACCGCATCGTGACCTAACCTCAAACACCACATTGGTTTTTACAGGCCATCTAGATAATCAGAGCTCGAACCTAAAGGCACGGGTCGGGATCGAGTTGGTGTGCTTTTTGTTTGAAAAGCACGTTGTAGGCGAGAGGCGCAGACGTCACGTATGCCGCGATTGATAAGGATGGCAGCACGGCAGCACACAAGGCAAGGCCTTAGCGCCGTTGCCTCGCACTTTTGAGTCGCGACAGTGTCGCGCCTCCTGCGCTTGGGACCCCTCTTTCTCACTCTAGAAGGACCACTTCTTGGTACCTAATACCCGCTGCTTGAAGCGTTATCGACGAAGTTGGATAGCGCTACTAACAGGTCGCACGACCGACTGCAGAATAGCACGACTTTCCCCAAAAATGGAACGAGTGGTTTGTTCGGGTTACGTAACCCATGATGACAATGCAAACAGATACTGACGAACCATTAATTTCAACCAGTTGATTGTGAAGTTGTTTACGTTTCTGCATCTCTGAGCAATAACGACCAATAAGGACGCGGAAAAAGTCGACCGTTTTCGATTCAAGCATCAGTCGCACCTAAAAGTTCAGCATCAATTGACCCTAAGCAGATATTGCTCCGCGTGGGACCCACCTCTCCCATACAAACCGAGAAGGCCTCTTTAGTATCCATGGCCAGTTGCCGCAATTCATCCTGAAGTTATTCAGCATCAATTGACCCTGAGCAGATATGCTCCGCGTGGGACCCACCTCTCCCATACAAAACCGAGAAGGCCTCTTTAGTATCCATGGCCAGTTGCCGCAATTCATCCTGAAGTTATTCAATGGTTTCTACGTCTAGAAAAAAAGGTGAAAACATGACTGACCTTTTCCCTTTTCAGGTCATCTGCAAGCCGTTTCAGTTTCTTCAGATGACCATCGTCCTTGATGGTTTGTGCTGCCATTTCGCGGTAGTTGACATCACCGATAGGTCGAGGACTGAAAGTGCCAAGCGTGCTAAGGACGATCGCATTATTAACTGATGGGAGGAGGCTTTGAGAACCATTCCCAGCCAGCTCATCGTATTGAAGAGTGAGTCGGACTGCTGCGGCTATTCCCAAAAAGGATCCTTCAGTTCTAAGCAGAAGGATAGTCATTCACGATAAAGGGCACAGTGTGTTCTGACTTGAATCGCCTATGTGCCCAGCGAGAGAAGCGGAATGTCCAGAGCCAGGTACGGGTCAAAATGGGCGGGCAAGAATTGATTGTGCCTCAGAATTTCATAAATAAAAATGACTGAGGGACATGAATTTTGTATATCTATTTAATATGCGCCATGCACATGGCTACATCTTCAAACTGCAAAACTATTCAAACCCGTAGCCACCCTTCTCAAAATTTTCCACGATCAGTTAGCGTTCAAGTGAGCATTTTTAATGTCTCAGAGATCTCACCATCAGTGTCATTGAGCCCAAACACGGAACTCCAAATCCGCAGCGTAAACTTTGTTGCGCTTGCTCCAAGAAAGATACGGCGATAAATTCATCGCCGTTGGAATAAAGATGTGACTGTATAAATGGCGAACTATGAAGAAAGACGAAGAAAAGAATGCTCCCAAACTCGCTGCAATGGGCGACGCTGCTTGCAAATCTAATTCTGCGGCTGCGCGAGATGCATTTTTAGGTGATGTATCGATAAGAACGTTCGGGGCTGTCTATTCAACAAGTCATCGAGTGGTAACTGCTGCGAAATACAGGCTCTCAGTACAGGTAAGGCCTCACTGGATCGCTACGAGTCTATGTCCTAAAATCGCTACCTGTGGTTCTCTTAAGAGCCAAGTATCCCTTTATAGTAGGCATCGTCTGTTCTAAACGTGCAATGTTTTACCACCTGTCCTCGGAGAGGGGGTGATTCGCACTTACAGCAGAGATCTTTCAGGGCCATGCAAGTCTTTTTTCAACACGGTATTTCGCATTGCATAGGGGCATATGTGGGAACCACATAACCATGGTTATTTTTTCTGAACGGCCCTCTAAATACCAGAAAAGAGGTGTCCCTGGAATCGATTCCTCGTGGTGGCAAATTTTTGTATTTCGAGTTTTTCGAAATTCGCGCAAAATGGGATCGTACTTAGAGTATGGCATTAATCATTTATGCTAACTCCATTTTGCACGAATTTTGAAGCGCCAACTCGAAATGCAAAAATGGAATGGACGAGGGAACGTCGATCCAGGCGACCAACTTTTGGGGTATCTTAGAGTTTCTTTCTTTCGGTATTTGCGTTCAGGAAAAAGTATCATCGGTCTTTTCGTTCCTACATATGCCCTATACAATGCAAAATATATTCTGAAGGAGCTTGGGCACACCCCGAACGACCTCCCTTGTTAGTGCGTTCAATGCGCTGGGTCCCTAACCACCGCGCCATCACGAGCCGGTTGCAACGGTACCCGGCCGGAAATGGATTCTCTAAACTTTACATCTCTGGACGCGCTTCCCTATTCTTGACCATGTATGAAGCGTCTCAACTGGAGTAGAGTTTTGGGAACCCACCCTGCACGGGTACTGCCGCACGCGGCCACAGAAGCCAACTTCTTCACTCCAATCATAGAAATTGCTAACTTTACCGCTTATAAATACATATGATTGGGCTTGTTTTGATTCTTTCAGCGTTTGTCATAAGCCGACGAAAATATTCTGATCATCATAAAAACAAATACAAATATAAATAAGGTTCGGAGAAGCCTTCACAAAAAGAAAGTTGAGCTGACCTGACTCGAAATCGATCCTCACTTGAGGGTATGTCGCTTTCGTAGTCCTCGTCTTCGGTAAGTTGTGACAGTCGAATGCTCTTGTGGGCATCGGCTAGCGCTACTTTCAACCGTAAATTTTCATCACGAAGAGCACCAAAGTCCAACGACAGAACTGAAATCCCTTTGAGAATTTGCGAGCTCGGGATATACGTGCTGGCCCGACCTGAAATCGCCCCCTGAATTGAGTATAGAGTATGTTTTCTAAGGGATCTCAGCGGTGAGTGCGGTGAGCGGTGAGAGGTTAGCCGTGCCGCAGTAGTGCAATCGTTGAAAGGTCCATATCCGGGCGAAAAAGCACACTGTATGTGTTGTTAGTGGAAAAGCAAACTGAAATCAATAAAATGGGTTAGATTGCATGTGTCTTTATGTCTTAACCAGGGGCCGTAAGGTATGCTTCCCCGAAGGGTTGGGGGACGAAAATCCCTTTAAATTTTCTCTGTCTTCCCAACTGGGATTGTCCTGATAAAGGGCCTACATTTAATATATGTGTAGGTTAAAGTAAACATGAAAATGCACTGAAAATGAAGAAACAGTATCGTTCAAAACAAAAAAAATTTAAAGGGATTTCGTCCCCCAACCATTCGGGAAGCATACCTTACGGCCCCAGGAATACGCGCGAAACTACCGTACAAACGTCGCGCGCGACAGTGTGCGAAGCGATTTTGAAGCCGCAGGTACCGTATTCGTAGTGACTGGAGCATTAGTTTGCAACAGTCCATGTGACAGTTTCATATTATACTATGCTGTTCACCTTGGTATTTGCTTCTTCAACTATGAAGCAAAGTTCAGCTGTTGCCAACACATCCAATGGAAAATTCGTAGGGAAAATAAGCAAGCAGGAGGACGAAAAGGCATGTGCAAAGCGATGCAACTTTTGGACCACGGCGAAGCTATGCTCCAGTCACAATAGGAGCCAGGACTTTGGCAGCTTGTCGCGCGCGACATGCACGATTCGTGCGCTAGACATCACTTTGCCGTAGATGACTGACAATGAGTCGCTGTCCCAATCAGTAAATAGGGAAAGTGTCAGTAAAAGTCTTGTCGGGGTTAAATGCCCGTTGTACCAAATTCAACGATGAGGCCATATTCACAGTTTAATTTATTTTTTTTTGAAACAGTCTTTGAAAGGGTTTGTATTTTGGCTTTTGTGTGCTGCTGATGATGACGA